TAGAAGGAAGAAGGAATATAAAACTTATTTTAAGGCCTCTCCAAAGTACTCTCCCTACATAACAGCCTAAAGTATGCAATACTTTTTACTAGAAAACTACTTCAAATTCTTATTAAGGAATTTTGAATTGAATAACCATAAAAGTAATAACAGTTTCTGTAAAAAATAAATCTACGGGAATTTTTTGAACTCTGCCTACAACATTGCATTCTGCATTTTCCCCAACCGATTGCCAGCGAGCAATTAACTTTGAAAAATGCCTCGAAATCAAGTGGCTGAAGGAGCTGGAGGAGCGTTGGTGGGGCAGGTGGTGCGGAGAGTGCATCTCAAGTGGCTGACTGGGATGGCTTGGATGACGGGCGGATGGCGGCTTCAAGTGGCGAATAAGCTCTCCTAAACGGGACGAGACAAAGGAACCCGGCCACGGAGCACTGAAGCATGCTTTGCTGGCTCCTCCTCCAAGTAATCCAAGTAACTTTTAGCCCATTCGCTCGAGAGAAGAGGAAGAAGAAGGTCGTTGTTTATTGATTGCCAAGTAAAAGCAGCCATAAAAGACGGCAAAAGCTGAAAAGAGACCAGGGAACAAAACAGAGACAGAAAGAGAGCAGTCGAGAATTGGCACAGGCCCTTGAAAAAATCTGGTTTTTCCATTTCTTTCTTGCTTTTTTTGTATTCCTAAGCCCACGCAAATGAGACGACCGACAAACGACGACGAAGAGGCCAACAAAAGACGATGATGATAATTATGATTATGGCCAAGATGAGCAGAGCAAGTGCAAGTGAAGGAATTAGCAGGCAGGCACGATTTTCGCGGACTCCAGCAGACACTGCAATCTCAAGTTGTGATCAAAGTCTGCAAGCTGATCGGGTAAAATATTGAGATATATACACTTTATGTTAGCTTTTAACATTTTTAGTTATCTGATTTTGTATACGCCATTACGAATTTGTAGAGGATTTACGCCTTTTTTAAGTTAGATCCAAAGGTTTATCCATAGCGATATTTTAAAAACATTAAGTTAATAGAAACTAAGAATAACCAACACAAAAATGCTTTACAAAGTGAAATTAATATATTTTTGACTCAATTACGATCGATTTCTAGTTTCGTCTTGGAATCAAATTACAAACTGCAAGGGTATACAAAACTTCGGCTTTTCCAATTTAGCTTCCTTCCTTTTTAGTAGAGAATTCAACTTCAGACAGATGTCTGTAAAGTTTTAATTCATTATTTATTGATAACTTTTTTAAACCCTCTTATAAAAGTTGAAGTTTCAATGGATCTGAACATCTGCTTAACTCTCCCCTCGGATCCTTGATTCTACGATTCCCTCGGTAGCTGGTGGAATAATATCATCCATCTCCTGGTCTTTCCCTTCTTTTTTTTGCATTTACGGCCTGCCAAATGGCATCTGTTGGCCAACCGATTTGAGGGCAGAGATTTGGAAATAAAAGAAAGGGGCAGTGCGCCAAGAGAAAGGCAGAACGGTGTCAGGCATCGAAAATCCAGACCGGACTGCGGACTGTGACTCATTGAACCACAAGATGAATACAAAGATGCCAAATCAACTCGAACGAGTTTTTGCGGCCTGCTGCAGTTGCCCGTACCAATACCGATTCCGATGCCTGTTCCGCACTTTGTTTTCAGGTCAATTGCATCCCAGTTTGTTGGCAGCACTCGAAGCCAAAGCGACATTTGAGTTTTGCACTCGGCCTAAACGTGCAACCGTTGCAACGGTGGAAAAGTCTGTCTCTGCCGGGGCCAAGTGCGTGCAGCGTTTGTCAAATTGCCAGTTGAGAGCGCTCCATTTGGAGTCTCCTCCCCCTGCTTCTGGTGCCGTTTTGGCCGCAATCTCGGGCCACATCCCATTCCCATTCCCAATCCCCAAGCTCAGCCCATCCTACCCAACGGCAGTTGACAAAAGCCATCAGCCAACCCAGGCTAACAACCGCAACATTTGTAATGGAAATTCCTGCATTGAAATCTTGTTTCGTTTCGTTTAGCTGCCGTTTGCGTATTGTTTTGGCTTATACCCTCTCCCCAAAGGTACAATGTTTTTCCATGTCAAAGTACTTTTTAAAATCGTGTATTTATTTTTAATCAGCATCAACAGTGCAGATGACGGAGAAAAACGGAACGTATGGGAACAAGTTTAGAGCGAAAAACAGGTTTGTTGCGTCGAATTATATAATAACATGTGTCAGTGCAATGTAAGTTTAATAATGATCAAATATAATAACAAGTCTAAAGTATTTTCTCATACGATTGATCTCTAAATTAAGACGTACAATAACGTATTGTATTTACATTTACTAACTCTTCTCAATTATTAACAAGAATTTTAGTGGTATTTAATATATGCAATATGAAGTTACCATTTTTAATGTACCTAAATACAGCCCATTAACTCAAGTCTAAGTATTTCAACCCAATAATTTAAGAATTTGTAAAATAGGCTCCCTTTTCAAGATACATAATAGCACTTTATATACCTGTAAGGGTATTACAGAGTTTGCAAAACACCTTGTAATTTCTTTTTCCTCCTCTTTTTGTTGTTGGTTTAATTTTTTGTGGTTTGTTTTATGTTTTTGTTGTTGCCAGCTGTTGACTGCAAGTGGCAGTGCTTTTGTTGCTGTTATTGGTGTGGATGGGGCATTTGTTGGAGCCTGTAACTGTTGCGGTTCCGTCAACGTCATCGTCATCGTCATCACCCACATCCCCGGACGCCTGCCACCCCGAACAAAGTCAATGAACCGGCCCAGACCCTCCCTATGCCAGACGACGAAAAGTTTTTCAGCTCCATTGGCCACTTGACCGCCACCGCTAGGGAGGAGCGATTTGAGGCCATTACATTTGTTGATCGATCGATTGTTATGATTATTCAAGTATTCCAGGCCGTTGCAGCTATATACTACATACATACATAGCTTTTTCCTGTCAACCAAATGGGATGCCCATGCAAATGAGACGAGTGATTCGAAATTCGAAGCTTGTATGTTGGCTTATGCGATTAACATAGCTAATGTTTATAAATTGCAAATTAGCGTAGAGAAGTAGAATAGAGGAGTCACCAGCATGTGAACCTATTGCCCGGGGTTGCGGAATCCCGTGTTTATGTTCGTGCTAACTCTGATCTTTATCCGGCTAGTGCGAATAGCTCGACACGCGAAGAAATAAAAACTCACTTAGCGGGCATAGATTTAGTACCTGTTCTTACTGGGTTGAGAGACGGAAAGTAAACAAAGCAAGAAATAAGCGCTGTCAGTTTCAATTCAAGTTCAAAAGAGACGATGACTTGGTCGGTACATTGAGAAAAAATAAATAAAATAGAAAATACCTTGGAAAGTTAACTGGGTTAAAGAAATTGATGATTCAGAAATATTGTATCTTAAAATAACATTCAGAAGCAAGGCAGTATTTTAACGTATATTATTCCCTTTTCATAAATGTAATAAAAAGGAATTAAATGTTTAAAAGTAGTATTATCCTACATTAATACAACAATTTAATCGCTATTTTCAGACAGAAAGTGTGCCGTAAATTATAACAACATATGTATGTATGTACATGCTATATTTAAGTTTGATTTATTTACATTTCGAATTACTCAATGTTGTTCAAACATTCCAATCTGAATATTTAATTAAAAAGGTGCCAAGTGGGGTCTCGTTCGGATGGATACACTCAAAAACCCATGGCTTTCAATTAGCGCTCGGCTTTGTCGTAAAAATAACCAATGTGCGAAAATCCAATAGGGGGAAACAAAAAAAAGCGACAATACCTAAATCTACAATAGTTAGATTTAAAAAAAATGCCCGTTGGGGTTCGTTAAAAAGGAAAAAAGAGGACGCGAGAGAAAAGTGAAACAAACACCACAACAACAACAGAAACAAACAAGAGAGATGCATAGCACACAATGAGAAAATCAATTTAAATTGAATTACACAACCCCAACAACAACAACAATAGGAAAGGGAACTAACTTGGGAAAACCGAAGATTATATGCCCTTGTAGTTTGTTAGTTAGTTTCGATTAGCTTTGATTACGTTAGTTTCGATTTCGTTAATAAATCTGCATACTAAATTTAATTTAATTTTGAAAATTTTTGACAATTTTAACGATGTTAACCCTTATAAAACTAAAAAAAAAATGTATACAATTTTATACGACTCGGCTGATGATGCTGATGAATAATATATACAATTTATAGGATCGGAAATAACTTATTAAATGCGTTTCAAGCTTCTGATTAAAATTAAAATACTCTACAAGGGTATAGCAAGACGAAAAGAACTCAAATAAAAGCGAATTGCATGGCACCACAAACAGAAAGAAAGAAATACAAATAAAAGCACAAAAACAAAGCCAAAACGAGCTGCGAGCTGAGCAGATGAGACCAAACGGGTTTCACACGCTCCTCGGAAAGGAGAGATGAAACGATTCTTGGATTCTCAATGAATGGGCATCGAGCATACAAAGCGTACAATAAAAAATATCAGGCTAAATAAAGATGAGCTGCATAAATTAAAGACGCGGCTCTCCCCCTCCCTTCTATCTATCATCCCGCCACCTGTGTGGTGTTCCTCTTGCCCTTCTCTCTTGCTCACGCTCTCTCTCCTTTTGCTTCTCCTTTTCATCTGCTTCTTCTGGTGGTTGCAATTTTGTAACAATTTGTCTGCTCCAAATTTTGTTGTTGCATTTTTTGGCAATCCCTCGACATCGAGTGCAAAATCCGTCTAGACAGATAATACATATCGGCAGGTGGTGGGGGGGGCTAATTCGATTAGATATATCTACATATGTACATACATATATATATATATATAAAACCCAACGAAAAAGAATTTTCTTTGTTTTGTAACTCAAGTAAGCGGGGGTTGAGGAATCCGGTTTCAGACACCGTAAATAGACGCTTTGTAGGGGGTTGCTTCTCTGTTGAATGTTACAAATTCACTGTCTCTTAAATAATGTTAAACTTAGTAAAAACCTTTTACTCACCTTTTTCTTCCCGCGAAAATTAACTTTTTTTCTTCTTTTTACCGCTCACCTACACACACATGCATGGTTCCACAGGACACAGTTACAATGTCAGTTTGCGTATTTTCCGAACTCCGTAATCGCACACACACCCTTCAGAAACAGAACTGCACTTGCAATATTAACTAAATATTAGCTAGTCTCTTTATTTATTTAGACCGAGTGTTTTTGATTTGCATTATGACGAGGACTCTCGCTGCCGACGAATCAATAAAAAAAATACGCGATGCGTTTACGAGCGGCACTAATTCCAGCCCGTCGTGTCGTAAAATGATGTACTAGCCGTTGATGTTGTGATGGTAGTTAAATAAATCAATAGTATATTTTTCAATATTTTAATATCAATATTAGTTTTTTTATACTTCGGAATAAAACAACTCTCGCGTTTCGCGTTTTGATTTGTTATGATTTTTTAAAACGCTACTCTAGAGGTGGCAAAACATCGATGCCAACATCGATAACATCGATGATTTCGAAACATCGCTAGTGCGCTTTCGAAAATAGAAACATATAAAATGCATATATAATATAATATAATTCGTCCGAAATTGATTAACGGTATTTTTATATTTTAGAATATTTCCTAAGATCGCTGTTTTTGAATCTCTGATTTATAAAATTCTATAAGCGGTCACGCCGAAAGCCATTTTTCACGCGCTTACAGGGTGGTCACGCTTGCAAAACTTAAACCTTTCAATATATTATAGTATTATTTAATTTATAGAAATCGATTTAATATACCATTGTCAAGTCCCTTAATCGAGAATTTAGTAAAATTACCAAAATTAGGGAATTTGTTAACTTTCCCCAGATTAATTTGACGGATTTATACAATTAAACTATTTTTGCATCTGTCCAGGTAGTATCTTCATTATCCATTGGTACTGCAAAAACAAATGTTATCGTTATTTTTCATTAAATTCTAACATTTTTTAAGATTTATTAAATTAAAATTGAAATTTTAAGTTTAAATTCCCATTTTACACGCTTACATGAAATATATGTAAAAACGGCCAAATTCCGATTGGGTGTCAAGTTCTTTTAAAAATTTTTAACCCATTTGAAGATGGGTTTTTATTTATGTTTATATTTATTTTTACATATTATCTATTTTTATTATAAATTTTTAGCTTATATTCCACTTTAGAAGCTCACCAAATTTAACAAAAAATAAACCTTTTGAAAATTACCGATAAACCAAACGATGTATCGTTAGAGGCTAGTGATGTGGAATCAAAAAGTCTTCAAATTTAAAGTGCATATATATATAAAGCATTTAATAAAATATTCAGTAAATAAGGATATAAAATATATAGGAAAACGCCTTGATGGATTTTCATTTTAATACGATAACTATCGGTAACGTCCACTGGCAGGGCCACCTATCGGTAACGTTCAAGCAACATTTGATGATTGCTATTTAAATTTCGAAGTTCGTCGCCGCTTAATTCTCGTAACTATTCACCGGATCACCGCCAGAGTCGAAATTTACGGGCCGTATCATCATGCGTGAGGTTTTCGGAGTGTCCGATCCATTCCCCCAATACGACCAGAGGATGGCCGGACCTGTTCTCTGGTTTCCGTGCTCGCCATTCAAGTTGGACCTGGTGCAACGATCGAGCCACCAACCGCCGCCGTAATGCTCGGCACAGGAGGAATCTCCGGCGGATTGGCCATCGCTCCTGCGATCGTAGGTGCTAAAGTCCAGGTGAATGTGCGGCTCCAGGGCGTCGGGCAGCGAACCCCGAAAGACACCGTCCACCGCTAGCTGATAGCTGTAGCCCTCGCTGTCCAGCCGGAACAGAGAGTACTCCGCCCAGTCCGGGAACTCCTCCCCATGATTATAGCCCAACTCCACGCGCAACTCGTGATCGTCGCGATAGAGAATTTGGTGCGTGAACTCGTTGCCGAACCAGAAATCCCTGGACAGATTGCCAAAGCCCGCACGATACTCATCCCAGCTGCGATTGAAGTTCTCCGCAGGATCGAAGACGCCTCTGTTCTGGATCACCGTCCAGGCGGGTCCGTCGGTGGCGAATGCACAGTACCGCTCATAAAAGTCCCGCTGTAGTTCATTTCTTTCTGGAACCAAAAACCTATAAACGCCATCCACTCGATCTACCAATTCGAAGCAATCCGATTTGTCAGGCTGGTCAAACTCTGGGCAGGATTTGCAGGTGAGTTTCTTTTAGTTTATGTCCTTGTAATTAAGACTTACCAACTTTTGGGAGTTCCTTAACTTGAGGAACATTCATGGCAATAGTGTCGTTTAGGGAACCTTCTTGAATTTGCTTGCACTCATTAAACCTGCTCAAAGAGTCCATTTGGTTTTCTATCCTCTGAAGCACTTCCTTAGTGCTAGCCTCCTGTTCCAGTCGCTGCATTAAATAATTCAGTCGTTCCGATAACTCCAGCAAAGGATCAGCTTTGGTGGAGAATGTGCGAGCCGCATGGATGTCCGTATCTGCTAGGAAGACCACCTTGCTCAAGACATGGTGCAGATTGATCTCTAGGCTTTTCAGCCTTTGGGCCTGTCTGGCTAGTGTCTTTCTTATAAGGACAAGTTCCTTTAGGGATTCTGGAGCAATCTCAGAAATGGGAGTGGTCACAGTCTCAGCTTGGTTAAGAAAAACCGAGCTCCAGGCCAGCAGGAAAGTCAAAGAAAGCTGTTGGAAAAGAAGACCCAGATTCGGAGGAATACTGTCGGAGCTATTCTGTAAATCCATTTCTCTTGGCTTACCATCATCTCTGCTCCCAGTTCTGTGACTAACTAAACTGATGTCACCATAGAAAGGGCACACATGTCGCGAAATGTCCACCATCTGGTGACGAATCCCCTCCAAGAGAGCCAGGCCACTTGATCATGGGACTGGCATGTGTGTAGTTTGTACGAATATAAATTTTTATATTTTCGCGGTCCTTAGTTAATCTTCACATTTCGGTTGTATTTTTTGTTTTTTTTTTTTTTTTTAAGTGTTAACGAATGAATATTGTTTCTAGCTTTGCGATGAAACATACATACGAAGTAGGTAGTAAAAAAACGTAAATAAGAATAAACATTTCTGCGGGCATAGCCGCACTAGGTTTTGCTTCCGTTTTGTTTTTTTTTTATGTTTTTAATTTCTACAATTAGCCACTAACTTTTAAGGTATAAATGAAAACGCCTAAGCAACTAAAGTACATTTACATACATATCGATCTTTCTTTCACATTCCGAACTTCTCTTCCTCTAAATTTCTCTCTCCATCTCTCTATACAGTTGACAAACTTTTCAAAAATAAGAATTAAGGGGCCTACAGCCATCTTTGTTACATGTTAGAAGTAGGGTTTAAGCGGATCAATTTACATTTATCGTGGTTTTGTTTTTAGTTCTTATATCTTTTGCGTGCAGGTGCGAATACATTTCAAATCTTCAGCTATCTCTGCTCTATTGGCATTCTCACGTATGTATTTGTATGTCTGTTATGCATATATAATATATATTTAAATGGGTGTTTTTATATTTATATATATATAGATAGATTACTATTTTTAATTCTTAGCTCACTTTGGCTTGAAGCCCAAGTGGGTTGGTTTGTTTCTTCTGATTCTGATTAACCGTCACACGACCATCCTTCGAACCGAACACCCCCACCACACCACAACACAACACAGCAACGTGGAGTCGTGGTGAGAGCGTTCGATGATCTCAAACACGGTTCGAGTGGTTACAGATTAATTAGATTACATTTATCAATAACTTGCTTACCTCTAAGTGTTTAGCTTGTATTTACATTGAATATTTCAAGTTTTTTGTTTTGTGTTTTTGTTTTTCTTAGATTGTTTGTTTTTTCGTTTCCTTTGTGTGGTGTGTTTGCTTTTCTCTGCGGGATCGTAGAACTAAATAACTTAGATGATTGCTTTCAGTAGGCAATGCTGTTGTTGTGAGTGCAAACAAATCCGTTTAAAACAAGTTAAAATTGTTGCTCTGCGCAGGCTGATTTCTGTGTTGTGTGTTTGTGTTCTAAAAGTTGACGAATCGTTTAAAAAAAACTTAAATAACGAAAACGAGTTATCTCCTTTGGGCTTTGTTGTTTTTTTGTTAGGTGCGTCTGCTGCGAGAACCATCGGTCCGATTTTTCCACTCCGGATCGTTGGGGTCGTCGTCCTCGAAGGGATCCTCGGCCATGTCCTCCTCGAGAGCCTCCTGATCTCCCAGATACGCATCGATGGCCGAATCGTATAGATTCAGCTCGGCATCTGGTGTCGATTCTTGCTCATCGTCGAGCGGCGCCAAATGATGCTTCGGATAGTCATCGTCCTCCTCCTCTAGCAGTACATCCTCCTCTTCCGGCTCTGAAATTCCACCACCTCCTTCCACCACAACCCTTTCACCATCATCCTCGGTGCCGTCTATCTTCGCCGCCATAGGGTGCCCATTGATCTGGCCATTAAGCTGTCCATTATTCAGCTTGGTCTTGGACTTGCTGCTGCGCCGACTACTGCTGCTACCTCCGGCTCCTGTGAAGCTGCTTCCGTCGCAGTTAGATGACACGGATTTGGTTTTGGCCCGTTTCGTGCTGGGTGTAGATGTTGACATTGCGTAGGTCTCGGCTAATAAGCGCTGATAGACCTCCTCGGAGAGTGGAAAGACCAGAGGCTCAAAGAGTGAAGGCTGTTGCATCAGCGCATGGCCCTGATCACAAAAAATGAAAGCGGATTGTTAGAAAATATTCTGGAGTTTTGATTAAGAGCACAAATCCCCTAGCTCACCTCTCGAAGATCTGGCGTGGTGCTGCGCCGCTCCGTTTGATCCTTGAGCTTGCTGGACGTTGTGCGACGGCGGGCTTGACGTGACTGTCCGCCCGATATCAGCTCCCCGCTCTCGTTGAAACCTTCCAGCGGATGGGCCAGCGGCGAGGGGATGCTTTCGTTGTCTAGCCCAGCTCCACCGTGATGCGGAGCTGGTGAGGCCGGATCCGGAGTGTTGGCACCGCTCGATTCAGCGCGACTATCTGCACGGCGATTCGCACGTGATCTGGTGCTCCATGGAAACTTTAGGAACGTCTCGAAACGACGACGCTCCTCGAGCAGGGCGCGTTGATGTCTTGCAATGAAAGCCTCATCGGAGAGATCTTCCTCAATGAACTCCTCCTCCTCCATTTCCACGAGGGACGCTGGCGCCTGACCATTGGCCTTAGGCTTGGTTACCTCATCTACGGACTTTTCCAACTTGGGTCGCTTCGGCAGTGGTGGCTCTATCTCAGCAGTTGATTCTGTCAGCTTCTCGGCAGTTTTATCATTTTGATTTTTTCCAATGTTGCCATTAAGCTTGGGCTTCTTTCCCTTCTCCTCCTTTTTATCCAGTTTGTGCTGCTTCGCTGTCTTGGGATCAGCCTTCTTGGCATTGCCATTTACCAGTCCATTCTTATTATTGTTATTATTGTTAATAATATTATTGTTATTGTGCTTAACGACTGCCTCCTTCTGCCTTAACCCGTTGACCTGTGGAGGCTGCTCATCCGACAGCTGTTGTTCTTGTTTAGGGCTTTGGGCTTCGGTTTGTTTGTTGGAAAGCTGCTCGTCTGACGTCGCTGTTACTGGGACACTGCCGTTGCTGAGTTTACACTCAGCTGACTCATCCGCCGACTGCTTCGCCTTATCACTGTCGCTGTCAACAATGCGCCACCTGTAGATGTGAGGGAACACAAATGGTTCATGATTAGAATAGTAATAAATGGGAGCCGAAACCAATTGCCACAAGATGGCAGTGCAAAAGTACTCACTTGGGCGTTGGAATCTCCTTGTAGGGGAGAATCTCTACCCTCGTCTGGGCGGCCATGCTGTAGGGTATAACGATGTTGTCGATGTCGTAGATGGGACGAATGCGGCGTTCCGAGGTTCTGAACGAAAGAAAGTCAATATATGTAAAAGCCATCTATTAGTATGTCCAACTGCATGCCAAGATTACCTCTCGTTTCGATGACTGTGGGTGGGCGAGGAGCTGCGACGACTCTTGCTACTGCCCTGCTCTGCTCCCCACTGATCCCCGTAGCCGTTGAGGTGATGATTGTTGATGTTGCTGCCGGATGTATGCTGCTGCTGTATGGAATTGCAACTGCTGCTGTTGTTATTGGTGGATTTGCGTGACTTCTTAGCGCCGCTGTGTGCCGAGATCGAGGTTGAGGAGGGACTGTGGTGGCGTTGTTGTTGGCGTTGGCGAGAGTCTGGCCACTGCGATCTGGAATTGTTCACTCCAGTTGGGTGTTGTTGTGGCTGCTTCCTGCCCGTTGCCGCCGCTGCTGCATTAAATCCGTAAATTGAATGCGGAAACGGGACGAGACGGAGACAAGAAACGGAATGGCAAAATAAAGCAATTGGTAGTTGTTGTTGTTGTGGTTGTAGTTGTTGGTGGTTGGTGGGATTGGTTGGAATATTCGTGTTTTTGGTTGATTTTCGATGCAAAGAAAAAGAAAGAAGAAGAGATGCAAAAGATTGTTGTTGTTTTATGTTAATAAATTATCGAATTTTGTCATGTTTACAATAATTTACTGTTGGCCACAAGTGGCGTTGTAGTAGGCGTAGTAGAAGAAGTAGTAGTAGCAGTACCAGTACCGTTTCCGCTATCCCCTCCGCCGACGCCACTGCCACCGCCTCCTCCTGCTGCTGATGCTCCACTGCCCGCCTCCTTATTTGAGTTATTGTTGCGCTCCTTGCGGCGTATATATCGCCGCTTGACCGCATCACCCGACCGGCGGCTGCCCGCATGTCCGCCGCTACCGCCGGAGGCTAACGTCTCGCGCTCCGCCTTCCACATGGCTTTTACAATGGCCTTGGCCTGGGAGCGCATGACGCGATACTGCCAGTCCGGCTGGCGGGCAACGGCCTCCAAGTGCACAGATTGGGTAACATCTGAAAGAAGCAATTAAAATGTAATTTTTTGTTAAAAGGTTTTCGGCAAGCAATCTCAAATTAAAATCAATTTCAGGGCGCTATTTCCGGTTTTCACAGTAACCGAATTAATGGCATTCTTTAATTTAAAATGCAATCAATCCGGTTCCTACTTTAATATAATTTATTTAAGGTTCTAAACAAGAATTTTAAGTATTCCCAGATTTAATGAATTATTCTAGACCATTGGTTGCATTTTAATTCATTTGTCTACGTAGGAAAAAGGAAAAAGTATTCGAAGAGAGCCAAAGCTAACACCCTGAGGTTTATCAGAGGTCTCTCCTATGCCTGCGAGATATGGAAGTTCCAAGGACGTATAATCCATATTTATATCAACTTATAGGGGTTTCTGTACAAGTGTGTTTCAAGCTAAATAATTTAAACATATTTGTCCATGATTACATAATCACACAATTATCGACTTAACCCTTTAGAAAATGCTTATTTATTGCTTGAAATTATTTTCAAATCTAGATCGCTCACTCATAATTAATACATCTCTAAGTATCAAATCCAGAAATGGCAATTCAATGAAATTTTCCACTCACCGCTGGCAAAACTGAGAACCGGATGAAAGCCAGCATCGACCAGGGCCACCCGGTTGGCGGGCATCATTGTTTCGATCAGCTCCCGGGGCGCTGTGGGATCTGCTCGACCCGTGCACAGGGTGCAAGGCACCTGGGGCCACTGGCAGCCGCATTTGATGTTGCTGGGTCGCGCCGCCTTCTTTGAAATTGTGTGCATGTTGGTGGTCTGGAAGAGTTTGCGCTTTCGAAACTCGGACAGCACCAGAGGCCTGGCCCGGCTGCAGAGCCAATCGGATGGCGGCTCCTCCTTTAGGCCATTCGCAGGCGACGTCAACGGTGTCTGGCTGGCAGTTACCTCAAGCTGAACTTCCCCTTTAGACTGGGATAGCTCCGTATAGAGGTCACCGTACTGGCGAATTTTCATCTCCAGGTCGCCCAGTTGAGAGCAGAGCCACGACCATCGCAGAGCTATGGCGGCCCGATCTTTTGAGTAGCGCCAAACAGCGCGTCGCGTTCTGAAACGAATCGAATGGAAGAAAACACAAATAGTTAATGATTTGTATCCGGGATGAGATTCTTGGAACTATGGCGCATAATATACGATAAAAATGGTAAATATATAATGCTGGAAAACACTTTATATTATTATGAGAGTACTTGCTATAGCACAAACTAACAACAAACGTTCCAATGAAGTTGATAAAATCCCTGGAAAAGTGGTGTCGGGTAAATACGCAGTTGTAAGCAAAATGATTTGATCTAAATCTGATTGACTCAAATCTTAAAAGCTATGAACAATTTGTGGCATCTGCTTAGGGCTATCTAAAATACCGAATATAAAGAATCTACTTTAAAGGGCTGTCAAAAATAACGCCCAACAAAGACTAAATAAACCAACAACAACAAATTGACAAAATACCCTCGATGTTATCGGACATGAGAGCCACAAATCGATCTAAAAATGTGACAGAAACGAACGGCTAAAAAAGCTGGATACCCAAAGTAAACATTCGGAAGCCTAGCAGTTTAGTTGAAAAATCCCCCAGAGCATCAACAAATAAAATCAAGAAGAATGGACGGCCTGATGCACTTACATGGGTAACGATAGCTGCTGGGTATTGTTGTAGGTGACCATTTCATCGGCGGACTCGCCGCCGGAACTGGATTCTGTTGCATCAGAATCAATGGCGTTCTGAACCTCTCGCAACTCTGTGTGCAGCAGTCCTGCCACGTGGGTGAGTTCGCTGGTCACATAACTATCGTAGCCGGGCACGATATCGTCCGCCCGCGGCGTATTAGGATCCGTGCTGGACCCCGTCGTGCCTGATGTTGCTGCTGCTGCTCCAGATCCCGATAAACTCGCAGCCGCTGCCGTTGTTGCTGCTGCTCCTGCTCCGGTCGTGGGATCCAACTGATTCTTACGCGGACGCTTGCTCGGCACCGTTGTGGAGTTGGCGCTGTTGAACCAGCTGGAAGATGGAGCCAAGGTGGCCGAGGTACCGGTGGCCGCGTGGGAAATCTGCTGATGCCGGGCCGCTGTACCAATATGCCGAATTACACTGCTCATCTGGCTGGCAGGCAGTGGATGCTTTTTCTGCTCCTCCCAGAATGCAGTGTCCGGTCGTCCGGAGACAATCGACAGAACAGTTGCCTCCCGCTCGGAGAGAGTGGCACTCCTGGCCGGATTGGGAGCCTTGTGGGAACTGCGGGCGGACCATTCCAGAATGCCGGCCACCTCTCCGCTGGCATGGCGACACATTTGCCGCGCCTGGAACTTGCGCATTCGGCGCAACAGAAATTCGATCCGGCGCGAAATCAAGTGTTGCTGCTGCTCCAGCTCAGCGTGCCTCTCCTGCCAAGGTCGATCCGGCTTAACACTCACGTTCGCAGTGGAAAGACTGCTGTTGCTGGGAAGGATGCTGGAGCCGCTGAAGCTGGGCTTAATGTCTGGCAACTCGGGGACACTGCTTACAGGCGCCGCCGTAGTGTTTATGGACGGAGCGGGTGCCGTCTCTTCCCACACATCGTCGAAAAAATCACAGATGGCATCTGGATTGACATGGGCACCGTCGAATGTCTTCAGCGCCTTGAGCACCTCCTCAATGTCCTGATCCTCCAGCACAGCGCCAGCTGCCCCGTCTTTGAGGAAATTAATCGATCCGGCGTTGCTCTGCGGCGTTAGTTGTTGCTGTTGTTGTTGCGTCGCTTGCAGTCGCGGGGAATCATGCTGCTGATTGACTGGCGTCTGCTGCTGCCTGCTGGGTGTTGTTGGTGGCTCTGGCTCAGGCGGAGGAGGCGGCAGCTCCTCTGGCATGGCAACGGCATTGCCATCCAACTGACTGAGGCGCTCTAGAAAAGTAAGCCAGGAGAACAGGTAAGCATTTGATTTTCACTTGAAGTTTGACACCTAACTTACCCTCAATGTTATCTGTTTCGATCTTGGGCAGCTCCTCCTCAACTGGAATTGACTGATCTTCAGCTGCTGCGTCGCTGCCGCCTACACCAGGGGATTCAGTGGTGGAGCTGGAGCTCGTGGCAGCTGCCGGCGTTGTGGCCGGTTCCTTACCAAGGCTCACCTCCGGCAGCGTTTTTCTCAGACAAATCTCCGCCGAGATGGCCTCCTCGAAGTTGATCGTCAGATCCGCCAGTAGCTGAGCCGTGGAATTATCCTTAGGCGAGCTGCTGTGGGGGTGTGTGGTGCTGCTATTGTTGTTTTGCTCCACCACCGCTGGTGTGGCGCTTGTGGAGGCCGTAGCGGCATCCGGCGTGGAAGAACCAGCGCTGGCGCTACTACTTGAGCTGTGTGGAGTCGGGGCTGTGCTCAGCCCCATTGCTGGTTCATTGCTGGGTTTATTGCCGCCCGACTTTCGTTTATTGTTCGGTTGCGAGGATCGAAGCTGCGGAATAGTGGCTGCCTGCGATGATGGCGAAGCGCCAGCCGCCGCTGCTGCTGCCGCTGCGGCTGCTACGGCCGCCGCTTCCCGGGAGCGGGTGACTCGCGTAGTGGCCGTTGCCGGCGTAGGCGTCGATGGCTTCTTGGCCACTAAGCCCGGACCTGCTCCTCCTGTGCCGCCACCGGCAACTGATCCGCTGTCCAAAGAGGAACTTCGGGCCGAGGGCGAGGCGGTACTTGTGAGCTTCTCCTTGGGACTTAATGGCTCGGCTGTGAGCGCTGGTGCCATCGTTGGGTCGCTCGCATTTGGGTCGCGATTCTCGGGCTAATCCTGGTCAGGTCGCTTTAGACGTAAACAAAACCAAAACAATAATTTATTTTAGTAAAAACGATTGGCGTACCGACGATTGGAATGAAAACGGAAGGCAAACTTTTTGTTTTACAAACTGCTCTCACACGCACATACACAGCACACACATATGTGTCGGCTTACTTCGTTATCTCAGTTTTACTCTTTCCCAAAATCGAACAAAAAAAGCCGCTAATATTTGTGTATTTATTTTATCGCGCTCTGCCGCCCGCCTCCCAAAGAAATCTCGTTGTGTCTTTTCCGGCGTGTTATGTACAAAATACACGCACTAAAACAGTCGCAGCCGCGCTCGGCCCTAAACGAACAGGCGAGAGCGAGAGAGAGGTCAGAAAGCGCGCTATTGCACACAATGATGCGCAATAAAAAAAACTGTATAGAACAAACACACACACACACACTCAGGCTCGGGCTCGGGCTGGCAGAGATGGGAAAAGCGGACAGACTTCTTACATACTGACGAAATCATCGTTGCTGCTCTTCATAGGAAAAACACAAATTTCTGATATTTTGCATCATCTGCTAACGGAAAATTGGCGCGCAGGCCTCATATTATACGTGGTGGTTTCCATGTTTTTATGTAATTCCATTTATTGAATTTTTCGTCTACAATTAGCAGTAGCAAACAGCACCTCGCGCCTTTACAGCACTAATACACACACTTTCACAGCACACACACACACACACACACAGTCGCAATGAGACCAGCGTGCAATTGTGTGATCCACTATTTTCAGTTATTTACACAATCTCATTTTTTGTTTCCACATGTCTTTATTAAATTCTGAGTAAAGTTAATTTAGTTGTGTGCGTTTTTTATACTGTATTTGCCCGATTCAGACGAAAAGGGAACAGCAAAACGTTTTCAGCGCGAAAGTATTGTGTCCAGTACTCACTAACACAAAGGCACATGCACATGCCCACATTCACACCGACAGGCAAGCGAAGGCAGGCAGCACGCAAGAATTTGTAAATTGCTTAAAAATTAAGTAGTATATTTGTTATACGCACAATTCGGCCGTTTCGCACAATACTCGCACAATTGCCAACTATTTGCTTACACAATGGCGTGACTCGCGTTGGGGAATTGTACGGTTCTCGCTTCACGAATTTTTTTCCTCATTTATTTTTTTCATTGCTGCCCTGCTACGCTTTTGGCAAAACGACGTGTATCGAATCGTATCGAAGCTGTACTCGTTTCTGTTGCCTGGCTGCCAGACCAAAGTACGCATGCCGTCCAGCCGGTCGTCTCGCTCGCACTCGCGCATCACCTATGGCGGTGGCGCGGCGCAGGGTTGCGTGTGTGAGCGGGACGAGCCGAGGGTTGCGTTACTTTTCCGCATATGGCAACACTGGGCGCGGGCTCCTACCATGGAATGCAACCGTGCGATAGGTGTTTCGATATATTTGTTTTTGTTTTGGGATTTTATGGCTAAATTATAAGAATGTGTTTTATGGAAGCAATTTACAGAGTTGGATCTGAATAACACTTTGTGCAATCTATGCACGCCCAAAGAGGAATTCTCTAATAACTGAACTAAAAAAATATATTGAGCCTCGAGTGGAGTTCCTTCGCAGGATTTATGTTAACGCCTTATTTCGAAGCTACTGAACGTGTAGGCATCGATCTCCTTTGCCGGCGAGAACTCTGCCTTTGTGATGCTGGACTGGGGACTGCCCTTGGTCTGGAGCCAATGTTTCCTGCAAAATTGTGGGGCAATGGGTAAATTCTTTAGACCAGCTACTAATTTCCAGGTATTACATTTCGTTCAGCTGCTGCAGAGGTCCCTCCAGTTGTCCCTTGACAGTTCCATCCTTAGTGTTCATGCACCAGCCCTTGATGCCCAGCGTATTGGCCGTTTGTGCCGTGAACTACATCGAAAGATTTACATCCATCCAGCTAATCAGACAACGAAATGTTCACTTACCTTGCGGAAGAACACTCCTGCAATAAATGGGACAGATTAGTTAAGTCAGATCTGGTACATGGCTTTTTGAAGTACCTTGCACACGTCCAAACACCTCGAAGTTGCACGCGAAGAGTTGCGCGGATTTAGATGCTGCCATAGTGCCACCGAAATCGGATGTTCGAAGATCCTTAGAGCTATACCCGCCTGGATATCCAAATAGAGACAGCAAAACAAAAGTTCGAACAACCAAAATAGAATTACATCGATTTGCCATAGTGACCGCTAGCGATGTGACCGTATTCATACCATTGAAAAATCATTCAAATTTTTTACGAGGACTTCGAAAATATTAATATATGTTGATTTTAAAGTTTAAACTAATTTAAAGCTGGAATCTACATTAGTTATATTATATTAATATTCAAAAGATTTTAATAACTTCTTCATTAACATTTATTTTGCAGATCTGATCGAGTTACGGAAACCTCTTCTGGGATTAAACCCCTGCAATGGCACTAAACAGATTTGGAAACGATACCAAAAGTACAAACACGTAATAACAAACAATCACAAACAAACTAAGTTACGATGGTCTTAATCAGCTTATCCACGTTTGTAGCTTCCACCACGGCGTTCACCTGCAGCCCCGCGTCCTCCATGGCTTTCCTGGTAGCGTCTCCGACAGCGATAAGCTTGCGATCCTTGACGGAAACCTTGTAACTTTCGAAAAACTCCTGAGAACTGCGAACGCTGGAGGGCCCGAAGAAAACGATTGTCTCCATTCGCTTAAGCTTGAGGGCATGACGCATCTGATTGTTGAACTCTGGATGGGACTGATTCTCGTAGACCTCGCAGACGTCCACCCGGAATCCCTGGGCCACCAGCCGCAGTCGAAGCGTATGGCCGACTCCATTGCCACAGGGTATTAGCAGCGGAAGCTCCCGTTTGGGTCCGAAAGTTTCTACGATCAGGTCACACAAGTTATGGGCATTTACTGTATAATCACCCATAGTAGAAAGTCTCTGCAAGGTATTCCAAACCAAGCTGTGTGTGCTTTTGCCCAGGGAGTAATTGTTGAGAGAGCGCCAACAATTGGGTAGTGGAGCCTTCTCTAGAGCCTCGTTAACCGCCTGGACACATCGGGGGGACGCAAAGATAATCCCTGCGTATTTGTGTGGTTCCTGGAGCTTCATTTGCAGTTGCTTTAGATTCTTAAACACAAATTGCGAGGGAGCTATGTAAATTGGATCTAGGTTATGGCGGCGCATGGCCGATCCATATAAATCATCAGACGATGGAACCTTTAGTAGGATTACCGGCCGATTACTATGCGCAGACGACATGGCACGAAATTAGGTTTATTCGAAATAAAACTTTATAATATGCTAAATTTGATCTTATTTTTGGAAGCGATCGGATTGAATGTGCGTTGAAGTCGTTAAGAAACTGAACTGATCTAGTTTGATAACTATCTCCGCGCCTTTTCTATCGCTTATAGTTCAAAACAAAAGCTACAGGTTGCTTGAAAAACAAAAATATTCAGTCCTGAACCTATAAATTAACAATTAAAATCAACTTAAATCGCATAAAAAACCCTATTTTTTACTGGAATGTTATCACAATAAATTGCATAGTATTCAATAATATGTTTACATTTATATATGGAAAACAAGAGGAGTAGAGGATAATTATCGTAAAAATAGCAAGGACAACAAATAGATTTCGATCTGTTTAGACAGCTCCCATCTGCAGGATGGGCGTAAAAAGCTTGTAAGCCTTCTCTATAAACTGCACCCCCGATAGCATTTCGGAAAAGAATGTGCTAACTCGGGCCTTGGCCTCCTCCGGTTCCGGCTTGCTGCTCAAAATGGCGGCGAACCTGTGGCTGAGACCCTGGAGGTGTCCGTTAAATTGTTTGCAGAGATTGACTACGCCGTCCACCTCGTTGGCAGTGCTGTGATGTGGTTTCACCAGCAGCAGTTCGGCGATTTTGTGCAGCTTGCACATCTCCAGGGCGCAGGCTTCGCTCAGAGCGTGGATGCTCTTGGCATAGGCCTGCTCTAGATCGGCAGAGGTGGCCTCATCCGATGACAGCCACTCCAGGCACAGCGACCAGTGTCTGTTAAGGGTTCAAAGATATTAATTAAATAATATACTATGTGAAAAAAGAGAAACTACTCACTTGGCCACATCATCAAACTGAATCCCCAGCTCGGCATCAGCAATGGTACCCGCCAGTCGCTCGCTCAGCTCCTGAGAGTCGTAGTCGCCCTCGCTTTCGCACTCCAAATCCTCCAGTTCGAGCAGCTCCTTCACTTCGCTGATTGTTTCCTGCAGCTCGGACAGAGCGTTGCCACTAACCGCATCCCGGAGGGTGTCCAGCTTGAGACACGACTCCTTCGATAGGATCTCCAGTGCCTCGTAGTGCACCAGGCCGCAGTAGTGCTCGAAGAGAATCTCAAAGCGAAGCTGCGCCTTTTGCTTCTCTAGCCGCAACTGTTGGAGTGACTCCTCCATTTGGTCTGCATCCTTCTTCGCCTCCAGCAGCAGAGCACTGAGATTGGGTTTGTTGGCCTCCAGTCCCAGGAGCTTCCGCTTGTTCATCAACTTGGGATCGTTGTCTTGCAGTATCGTCATGGTCTTTTTGCCAATGCCTTCGAGGGTGTCCAGCCCTGTGTTTAGTACCTTGGAGCCTAGATTTGTAACGAAGCCAAGGCCGAAGGCGGGGGACGCCTCGCCTTCTGTTTCTGTGGTTTCTTCAGGCGTTCCTGCTGGGGATTTCTCCCTTTCGGTGTTGTCAACTGGCAGCTCCTTGGCAGCTGCCTGTTCAGCTGCATTGATGCGAGCGAGTTCTTCGGGATCGGGCACGCCTATGATCTGACTCAAGCCCTGGTTCACCTGAGTGGTTATGGTACCTAATCCCTCGGTGGCTGTGCTTAGCACGGAGCTCAGTTTCCCGCCCCACAGGCCCCACGAGGATGATGTGTTTGAAATCGATGGGGGCGGAGCAGCAACTGGCGGCGGAGCAGCAGCTGGCGGCTGCTGCTTCTGTGTCACCACCACATCCTCTCTGGCTTTTGCGTTGTTGTTGCTTCCATCTTTCTGCTGCTGGGGTTGTGGCTGCGTCTCGTTCTCCACATGCACAAACTTATCCTCGTCGTCTCCCCAGTCGTCCCAGTTGTCATCCTCGTCGCTCTGATTCCAATCGTTGCCGCTGTCTTCCTCTTTTTTCGGTTTGTTTGCCATTATTTGAGTTTGGACTTTTTGCCTCCACGTAGATTTAGCTTTCTTCACCCCCAGGGCTGCCAACTGTTTGAGAATAGAACAGCTGTGCTGTGTTTTCTTCAAGAGGGGGCTGCCAACTTGTTGATAATGAAATTCGATTGGTGCGATAAGCGATAGTTTTGGCGCAATAAATTTGAAAGATTTTTGAAGTGTATAATTAAATTCAAAACGCAGAGTAATGAAAACATAATTTATGAAATAAAATAATACACAAATTCTTATTATGCTAAAAAGCTTTGTATAATAAATTCGATATTAATGAGCTATTAGATATATTATGCATTTATTTAAGTTAAATTATAGAGAAGGAATAGGAGATTATTAGAAGATTCATTCAACGTATGAGTTTAAAACTAAGGTTTAAAACATACCATACCTTGTTTTAATAAAAACATTATTTAATGTTGATTGTTTACACTCTCCTGTGTGCCATGCAAATGAGCATACAAATATAACCATAACATCGCTGGCCTTTTGCTCTTATCAGGAAACCATAAATAATTTGTATTGACTAAATTCCTTCACCTGTGCGCATACATACACCTTCTGGCAGAGGACACCACCTCCAAACCTCCAAACACACACTTGCTCTGTTGTCAATGCATACAAATTGAATTGATATTAGTTTGTGAAATATTTAAGCTGCCAAAATACGAAATAAATGTACTGACGTGTGCGTGTGCGAAGCTTTTTCTGTTTTCCATGTAATTTCTACCTTTTCATGTGCCTTCGTTTCATTCTTATTGAGATGAGAGGGACCAAGAATGTTTTCTAATTTGGAATAAAACGCAAACATTATTGTTTCGCCAGGTTTTGTTTTGTGCTTTTCTGGATCATTTGAGCTTTGTTCTGTTACATGTTCGAGTTTATTTGTTTGGACAAAGAATATTGTAACTTACACTGGTTACTTCAATATTGGATTCGTATTTAAGCTAGTTTTCTCTTAAACAATTGATTGTTTTTAGTTTTGCATTGTGTTGTAGTATGCGCAAATATATATACATTATATATTGTACAATTAATTAGAGTGTCGAAAACAGAAACATTGTGTAGATAAAAATGAAAGAAATATTGAATTAAAACAAGAAAGAAAACGGGAAGCCGAACCTTATATACACCTGCAATTGAATTATAGGATCGATTTGATAATAAATAAGCTTCAAATATTCGCATTCTTTGAATCGATATTTATTGATATGCTTGTATAACAATGTTTTCAAGAAATCGAGAAATCTGATGCGATTAGCTTGACTCGGCTGTTGATGCTGATCTAGAAAATATATTATTTAATAAAATGGCGCATTGCAAACTTTTGACTTATTTTCCAGTCTAATTTTCAAAATATTTGAGAGACATTGTCCCACATTTAACTGGGCTCATAAATTAGAAAATCACACAGACGAGTGTGCAGACAAATGTGCGTTCATCAGTCGAAAACCGAAAAGTTTTCCTAGCTGAGCTAACCAGCATATAAATTTGACAGCAACGGTGAGGCAGCGCAAAATTAACAAACCAACAGAATTTCCACACACGCACACAACACACACACAGCTTGACGCACACCTTGGCATAAACAAAGAATTTTCATAAACTTGCTGCACAGTTTTCCTCTTTCAGCCGAGAACCACATGAATATTTCGTCAAGCCAGGAAATTTATCTTTCCCCACTGAGGGAGGCGTGGAGTACCACTATATACCACTATATACCACTATATTCAACCCGCCAGCGATATGAGTAATTTTTTAATTAAAAACTTTGAGAAAAAGACGCTGCTATTGCTGCCGACCAACAAAACCGCTAAAATGTGTGTTGAGTAATGAAATACCTTTAAATAAGCTAACGTCCCTTGCATTCTCCACTTGAGTGAGTCCTGTTACTATAAAATGTCCTGAATGTGATACTCTCAAGGCATCACTATCCTTGAAGTTAGTAATTGCATGTTCAGTGTCTTGTCAGGGCCAAATATTAAATGTATATGGAAAGGAGTACACCGTACACGTATTAGATATTGGCTCTCGTCTTTGGAAGTTTAAGAAAGGGAATGACAGCTTTTATCAGTATTTCAGGTGTTAACTTAGTCTTGTCTATGGGAATAAGCGAATTAATAGGAAAACAAATGCATAGCTAGGTCAGCTGATTCTAAACCTAGGCTTGTTCCCTCCAATACCAAATATATTAATACAAATGATATACTTGTAATAGTAAAGCCATACTGCATTATTAGGTGACTTCAATTCAGCTTCTTCCTCGATATCCATCTGTATTGCATTGGTCAGTCGACAATTTTGGAGTCGAAGGGCAATCACTATCACTATCACCAGAGATGTTAACACTGGGTACCCCAGGGACAGACTGAGGCCAGTGGGACGGCAGCACCTGCATTTATAGTGTCCGAGTAAAGAGAAGAGCAGAGAAAGCGAATTCGAGAGCGCTAGAGAAAGTGCTATCTTAGAGATACACAGAGAGAGAGGGAGAGATACCATACCGAAATTTTCAGAGAGTAAGGGAGAGAGGGCGGGAGGCCGATAGAGCTAGATCGGCTGCTGACAAACATAAACATATATACATATATATATATGTATGTTTTTGATATATATATATGCAAACTTGTCACTAAAATTAAAATAATAATAATAAATTCTAAATAAAATTATAATTATGTATACAAGGCAAAAGAAATTTAACTATTATACATAAATATTTAGGCCCTGATTTATATTACCAACAAACCAGACATTGTACATTGACAAACATGAAATAAAACTTGAAAATAGGTTTTAACTATGGGCAAACATGAAAAGTGGTCCCAGAGATGGCGCCCCTCAATGATGGGGCATCATCCTTACAAACACGCACACACATACAGACACACACCACATCCTTCATGGCTGCCAACCGGCATCTTTGTCAAGCAACTAATATAAGTGGAGAGGAGCCACGTTGTTCTGGTTGCAGCTTCCCTCCCACAGCCACACCCACTCCCGCTCTCACTCCCACACCCACTCCCACTCCTCTCCCATTTTCCCAGGACAACAATGTTATTGATACCTCAGCAAAACCCCGGACAAACAAGAGAACCCTTTTGGCAAGCTCCCTCGAGCATATTGTCTCAAATATTTTGGTGCGTGTGCGGGTGTCTGTATAAATCTTATTCCCATCGACTTGATGTTTCTTTCTGAAGAGTTTTCCTGATGACAATAAACCAAACTTCCAGCTGTTTATTAACATGTTTCTCTGTCAATATATATATATACATACATATATATATTCTCCTATCTATAAATACACGCACGTCTGGGAGGGAGGGTCGGTTGGGTAAATGGGACTGGATCCTGAACCCGGAACGCATATTCTCTGTCCTATAAGTATCGCTTTACAAGTGGAAAAATTCCTTTAGGCCAAAGTGTGCATTAAGAAGATTGTTTTACTATTGTTGTAAGACACCCAAAATGTACACATTTATCTATACGTATAAATACCGAAATATATATCCCTTAACTACATGAATATTGAAGGTACTGGAAGAAATAAGTGGGGAAAATATTTAAACTATTTTTAAAATAAATCTCTATGGGATATAGTTATATATCTAATGTGAAAATTATATGTTTTAAGCCTAGAAAGTGTTGTTAAATTCATTTTAAATTAGCAATTTTGTAAACTTCAGCAGGCTTGGATAAACAACTGTTTCAGAAAAGATCAACCCAGTTAATCTCCAATATAGTAATATGATTTTTTTTAAAGCTCAAAAACCTATAATATCGAAAATTATATGAAAAACTATTATGCTTCGTAAGACCTTTATTAAAATATCGATTTATTTACTTTCCCTTTAAGTATAGATATATCAACATCAGTTTTATTAGTAGGGCAATATATTTAGTAATTTAATTTAAAATCCAAGTCGAACCAAACATTTCGCTCAGTGTGGCCACAAGAAACTTGCCCAAAGGCGAATGCTTCTTGTTCTTCCCCTTCCTGCGTCCTGCTTCCTGCCACTTTTCGCCATCTTCTCCATCGGCGTCTACAACAGCTTCCTTGCTGTTGTCATTCCACTCAACAAAAGGATTCAAATTTCATTAAATCTCATACAAAAGTATCAAAATGCCATTGTTGTCATGGAACTCCCACGCACACACACACACACACACACACACACATACACACTGCATTTGCCAGAAGGACCTTGCCTCATTCCTTGGCTCACACATTTAAGAATCAGGGAATGGAAGGCTTGACGTCTTTAGCTATTGGTAACTGCTTTTACTTTGGGCCTTTTATTCGATTTACGTTTGAAGTTACCCCATATGTTGGCATGCCTTGTGTGTGTGAGTGGGTGGGTGTGAGTCTATGTTTGCCAAGCAGGCGTGTCCTGATCGGTATCTGATGTAATGGAAAACTTAATAGACTGGTAGAGTTTAGTGTCTACCACCCGCTCCCTTCAATACATTAATCGCAGCAATTGCAATCGTTTGATTGTCCTTACTCTCCCTTCTAGATAATCCCCACAAAATCAGATACATATTATTGCCAATAGTGCGATATGTGATCTGGCTTAAATTGGGTTTTGGGAAATCACACCTGTCGGCGGCATTAATATTTACAGAGGGTTTGGTAAGCTGAGATTACTTTACGCCAACAACTACACTTATATATAAATTTTCATCTGCAATCGCATTAGAAACCTAGCTTTTACTATATGTTCAGTGTATTTAGAAAATTTAACTTACATATCTAATAGTTACTTTATAACAGTTGGAAATTAGAAGCGATTACTGACAAAAATGTAAAAATTGTTATAGGATTATTGATTTCTTTCATTGAAAAAAGGAAAACTCCTGCTCCTTCTTAAACAATGTCCTCAGTATCGTAAGAACTGCTTTGTTTTTTAAGCTGAGCAACTTTTCAAATTGCTTTCGCATTAAGAATCACTAAAATGCGTTTTTCGCTTCACTGCAGCCTGGTCGTTATGTCGCATTATTATAGTATCAACATAAACAAGTATATAACATATATATTTATGTTTGACTCAGAGTCAAGCTTATTTCAAGTGTCATTAAGTTTGTGGTGATCAGCCACGATGTCTCGTTTCTTTCTATTTTCGTCAACTCATCAAAGTTTGCTCTCCCACAAAAAGTTGTACAGGCTGACTCTTGCCAGGATATACAGCCGGGATTGGATTATACATTTATATGTGCCTGCATGTGAACTTAGGCCAGAAACCACAAAATGATAGACGAAACTTGGCCACAATAAAATTGCTGTAAACAATGTGGGCCAAACCGAACAAATTTTCATAAGCTTTTCCCCTCACACAGCCCTCGGGTCTGTCCAATAAAACCGCAAATCATTGGATAATTCTGCTGGAGAGCTGAGGCCAGAAAACTGACCAAAAATATTACACATACGCCATGTGAGCCGGAAGAGACGAAGGCAATTTGTTTGCATTTTGTTTGTATTGCTCAAAACACATTGGAAGTTCATAATTTTCGGAAATTTAGTTAACTCTAATGGTGTTTTAACTTAATTTGAAATCAAATAAGATTAGTTTGGCAAAGAAATTTAATTCTTTTTGAGCTGAGTGACTGAGTGAGAAGTGAGAAGGATTTAAATTGAAATATTAAATTGGTTTTGTTTGAATTTTAGCTTTTCGACACGTTCTTGATTAGCTGAAGCACTTTTAAATAACAAATTAAATTCTGACATTTGTAGTTTGAGAGAAGGAAGTAAGTTTGGAAGATTTTCCAAAATATTACGCATACGCCATGTGAGCCGGCAGAGACCAAGGCAATTTTCACGTTTTTGACTACTTGAAACACTTTGAAATAACGATTTAAATTCTGACATATTTCAGGTTTAAGATAACGAGATAATTTTTAAAGATGTTTTATAACGTCCCGCAGTTTCCAAAAATATTACACATACGCCATGTGAGCCGAAAAGGACTGAGGCAATTTTAGGCACGTTGTTGGACTACGTTGAACACTTTGCAATAATGATTTAAATTCCGACATATTTAAGGTTTTGAGATAACGATATAATTTCGAAAGATGTACCATAAGTTCCCGCAGTTTCCTGCTTTCAATTGGTCTGCAATCTTTCGCCGCTTGGCGGCAATCATTACAGCACTGAATCCCAGAAGAAATCACGTTCCCCGCAGTTTCCACATGTCAACGCGGGGGCACCGAATGATGCCGCCAACGCCACGCATGCCACTAATGAGGCTCGTTAGCGTGGTCATCCAGCGGCTGACTCTCCCCGATCCGATCCAACCCGTCCATCCATCCATCCCCCTGCCATTCCAGCCATTCGGCGGCGGGTAATGTATGCAACAAGCCGCACTGTACAAATGTACCAGGCAAATCGATAAAGTAATTTGGCCAAAGCCCTCCGATCTCCCCACCTTACGCGAACATTTTGGCCACATAATTTTGTTTGGCAGAGCGGCACGTAGTCACCGATGGTGACTGAGTGACTGGGCCAGGGACCAGGAAATGCCACTGGGAAATGGTAGAAGTAGGAGTATCCCCCTACTCTGGATGGCTCCGCCTAATTGCAGCACCATCTTGCGGTTATGTGCGCTACGTGCGTTTGTCGCACGTCTGGCTAATTAAAATTGCATTTTTCGTACGCAGCCCCCCACACAGGTTATTGATATGCCATGGATATGTTTATATATACATATGTACATTTGTATATATATAGGAGGACAATTGAGTATATTGCAGAAATGCGAACATCAGTTAATCGTGGCACCAGTTGGAGGTTGTTTATGTTGGCCATATAACATATTTGAGTGCTTTCTGGGCGGCGCTGTGAGCTTAGCTTATTCAAAGCTAAATCAAGCTTAGTTGAAGTTGAAAGAGCTTAACAATGAATGCAAAATGTTAGGTAGAAATCTCCAAGGTAAAAAAAGTTTAGAAATAAGGCCACATCTGTATTCTCTTTCTCTCTAATTCTCTCTGTGAATAGATGTGTAATGTGCTGATAATCTTTCTCATCTTTCTGTTTCATTAAAAGTGTTAATATTGATCAAGTGCAATTAAGTGTTAATCAAATACTCTCCGTGTGTGTTTTGCTCTTTTAGTTTTCAAGAATAAAACGAATAAAGTACTTGGAAATAACAAAAATTCAATTGTGATGAGTCTTCAGTTCACCTGAGTTTCTTGATTTTTTCGTGCTGTGTTTTTGCTGATAAGAAAATATACATATATGATATGTATGTATGTATGTAATACTATATATATATTTATGTGTGCATGTTCGCATGTTATCAAGAAGCAAAAATAAAAAGCTTGGCTTGGTGACCGCCCATTACAGTTACGCCAATGGGATCCCGTTTCTTTTAACCCAAAGATAACAATATTAATTTTTGATATGCACATACACCCATTCATACATATGTTTATATATATATTTCAATATGAAATGACCGTGAAAAGGTTTGCCAAGTAAAGTGAAGTGCCGCGAGTTTTAAAGTGCATTGTTTTTTCATTTTCTTGTGTTTTTTTTTGTGTGTGTTTTTTTTTGTTTTTTTGTGTTATTATGAAACCAAAGAAAGTAAAGGTAAAATTTAAAATGTTCGCAAAGTGTTGTGTTAGTGTCAAAATCAAAAAGCAAAATCGAACTAGCAATTTTAAGACAATTTAAAATATCCGAAGAGAAAGAGAAATAGAAGGTGAGTGAAGGAAAATATAAGCATACATTTATATATTCTCGTATTTGGTTTTGTTTGGCTTGTTTTTCAGCATTTCTTTTTTACAGGTGGCCATAACTCGGCAACACTGCTTCATTAATGAAGTCAGAGAGGTAAGTAATGTTGGATTTAAGAGCTATAAAGACGAGGTGAATGAATTAAAAATGTAGGAAAAATACGGGATAGATAAATTGGTTTACCTGAAACAAAATTATATACCATCACGTTTCTGAAATTTAAATATCGCTAGAAATTTATTGCTGATAATTATGAGACACTAAAAAATGTTCTTAATATTCAGTATGACAAATCTGCATTCTATACATAAAGTACGATTTTTAAGCGAAAGTTTTGTTTTTAATATAAGGAAAGGGTTCTTAAATAAATATTTATATTACTTTGGGGTAAAATATTAAAGAAATGCAAGCATTACTTACTCATTTGGATCGTTTCACATATTATTTTTGCTCTAGAAATATATCTAAAAAATCCAAAAACTTTTATTAATTACTATTTTAATTAATAATCTTAACAAACTTGCCGCATTTTATTCCCTGTGCATTGACTGATAGCCAGATTTAACTTGGCCAATCAAAACCCCACAGAAATCACATGAGTTTCCACTCGTTTGACATGTCAAGCACAATGCCAACTCACACACACCTGAAATCAATATCAGTTTTCAGCATTCAGTTAAACCCAGCTATCTCATTGATTGGAAGGCTGTCCGGTCTCCAAGGACCCTAGGCTGTTCGCACATCCTTTCACCATCATCTGCATAAAATCAATCAAATTTACGGAAATGCTTGAAAGGGTCAGAGACCCGCCACCCTCCCTCAACAGACCCCCAAATAGGCCTAATTAATTGATTGAAGATGTCGTGGAGGTTGTTGTTTTCCATGTCCTTGGTGTGGTCGCGCACTCCAGCTCCAGCTCCTTTGTTGTGTCAAGGGTCGCAGTTGCAACTGTCATAATATTGACTCATTGCCGTTGTAATTAATGGTGTTAAGACTCGCACGCCGTTTTAATGCAATCCAATTGACAGGCGGTATCCGGTGCACTTACCCTCCCGCATTGAACCATCTGGGGGATATTGATTTCAATTATAACGATGTAGCACACAATGGACGCTGTCAGGACCCACAAAACGACTTCGATTTCTGGTGCGAGGGGAACCTGTCGATGCCCCCAAAGGGCATGTTAACTAATTGTTAACCTTTTGGTTTGTGTTTCGCATATTAAATAGGAGACCAATGAACTTCTGACAGAGGATATTTCAGCAAAAGGGCAAGTAAATCCTTACAAGCTATACGTATCAACGGGAAATAGGATAATTAAATGAGTGCAAGCTATGAGTTTGTTAAAAAAGGCTTTATTTTTACTTGAAAAGATTGTTTTGAGTGCAATAAATTTATCCATTGACTAGAAATTTACTAGGAATCTTCACTTTAGTAAGGAGGATATCACCCGAAGACCTCGTCGTCGCTGAAATCTTCACTGTCAAAACTGACTCCCATAATGTGAGTTTCGGGTTCGTCAGCCAAGGTGGGTCTGATTTTAGGTACAACTTTAGGTTTCTTTTTGCTGGCCTTCTCCTGCTTGGCATTGCTAGAGGACTTTTTCCCGGATTCTAAGCCTTCGAAAACATTTGATTCTGTTTTTTCACATTTCTTTCCCTTCGCTGTCTGTGGTTTCTGGGATAAAATTGGTTTGTCTCCGGTTGTGAGTTCCCTCTGATATTGCTGAATAAGACACTCAACCAGATTTTGTTGTACATCGTGGGTTGCACCCTCTTCGCCATGGCCAGAAATGTACTTTCCCTCCGGCGGCAAGTCATCCACAAAGACATGTCTATCGGGTATATCAGCATAGGCATCACTGTCCTCCGACTCCACACTGAAGTCAGTCTCGAGAAGATCAGACTCGGAGCTTTCCACGCTTATTTTTCGATCCACCTTTTTGGTTATTGGCGGAGGCTGGTGTGGTGGCCGTGGGGCCTTTGGGTGTTTAATTGTGATGACTTTCCGCACGGGGTCACTATCAATGAGCTTTTTGTTATTTTGAATTAATTTCTTGACTTTCACATCTCTTTTGATTGGCTGAACCTCAAGCTGCTCCTTGGGTTGGGGATTCTGTGGAACTGGGCGCTGAGTTTTCTTAGGCAGACTTGACTTCCAGTCTCGTATCACAAGTTGAGCCAAAAGAGGAAGGTCCTTCGAGTCGGGAATAATGAAAAGCCTTTCCTCTAGGTCACTTCGAAAGGCAAGATCATCACCAGTCTCCATGCGAAACGTCTCCAGGGTGTGTCTGTAGCCAAACCAATTGAAGAATTCCATAATTAGTTGATTAATTAGCTTGATCAAGCTCTGATCCCTGGGAGTTTTGTTTAATTTAGTGACTTCGCCAGTCAGAAGTTTTGGCTTGAGCATATTCTGCTGACCCCGCAGCAACTGAAGGACCTTCAAATGCATTTCACTTCGAAGAGCCGCCATAGTTCCATTCTTCTCGAACTGACTCTTGATGCTCTCCTCCATCATCTGCTCGTAGGCAGCTTCCCGATTCTGCTCATCAGAGTTCATCCTGCTTCTACTTCTTTTGCGAGAAATTTTAATAAATCAAATAATTTACTTAAGAAATTTTAGTTCAAAGTTTTTCTCGTGAGCGATTTGTGTGCTATGAATTTGACTTTCGATACAGTTGTGTGGCTAGAAATGTAGTCTGAAATGTGAGTTTGGCTTCTCTATGCACAGCCTTCTTTATATATTTGAGCTCAATTCGAAGTCATTGGCTTGTGGCCAGGCTTTCTTGAAATGTCTGGAAAGTTTGTTTCACATTTTTTTATTCGCCTGGAAAACCACCTCAACTCGTTAATCATGCAGATAAACTTGAGGTTTAGACGGTCTGTGCATATATTAGCCATTAGTTGAGGTTACTGAACAAGGTTTTTGGCTTTGGAATTATGATTTCTTTTTGTACTTGCTGAATTACTGGAGGGTTGTATTATTTATATAATTTAAACTAGATTGGTTTGCATTTTACATGGTAAATAACTAACTATTTCAAGAATCGAAATGTAAGTAGTATTAAGAATAAATTTCTAAAACTTTAGTATAAGTATTTAATTATTAACATTCCCTCAAATACCTGTGGTCCCATTAGGCCAACTTATTTACTTTTCTCACTTTTTCTCCAATTCCCAAACTATCTGCAGATCTTTCTCATAACTGCGACTTAAAGTTTCCTTCTTATTTCCGCCAAGACCCGCTTAATTAGCTGCAGCGCCTAATTAAACTCACCGTCGCAAAACACACCTGAAGCAATATGGCTATAGCTTTAAGTCGGTCGGAAGAGGGGCGCCGCGTCGTCCGGCTATATCAGCTACAAAATTTATTGCACTTAATGGAATTTAAAAGTTTGTTTGCTGAAGCAACTTGCGAGGATGGAAAATGGCGGAGTCGCCTTGAGGAGCTCTCTGGGTGAGTGTGTCTCTGAGGGTGAACTTGCTAGGGTCGGGTTGATATAATAAATTTAAATGCTCAAACGATAATCAGGCAAATTAATAGTTAAAAAAAGGGGAATGGAAAAAGCTGCGTAAAAAATATGCACAAAAGAAAATGTATATACAGAAACTTTATCAGGATCAACTTCTGGGTGTCTTTTTTTGGCCGGTGGATTTCCTTGCCTTTCATTTATTTCCGTAGGTGCTGGCAGAAGTTTGTTGAGCAATTGAGCCAAAGAAATATTTAATAACTATTTTCTTGGCATTTTTTTCCGGCCTTGTTGAAGGAAAAAGTTCTCTTTGGATTTGCTTTTAATTTTTGTAATGGAATTGCCAAGAGCGAAGAGAGAGAGAGGACGACCACTTGATTTATAGCCAGTTCAAAGTTTTTTGTGAAAAGAAATATATATACATTGGCCGCATTCACTTTAAAGTTTTCCCGGCTCTTGTTTAAATATTGCTTCAACTAATTAGGAAAAGTGTTGCCAAAAACAATTGCAAAAGCTGTGAAATCTGTAGATATACATATCTACATATATATTTAGCTCAATGCTGCGCCATTTCCGGTTTATCTCTCAACTAATTTTTGTTGGTCTAGCAGAGAGGCAAAGCCAATTAGGCAAAATGGCTGCGACACATTTTCGCTGGTTTGCTGAGCCATCTCCAGGCCGTTAAGTGATGCCGGGCTAAGACCTGACCTGCCCTGACCTGACCCCAAATGAGAATAGTCCATGGTACAGAAAAGAATCCAAAGGGACATTGGGTTTTCTTGAATATAAAGCTAATTTCAATATATTATATAGTTTATAAAAAGTAGAAATAACATTTAAAGTATTATTTTTTATTCAAAACTAATTTAGAAAAACTTTGGTAATCCAAATCTCTAAGTAGTTTAAAGTTTCTAATATGTAGTTTCATCTATAGTTTATCAATAAATAAACACATTTTTCAACTACAAATATGTTGAAACCCATTTCTCTTAAAAAATGTTCCCAAATTTACTAGAAATAACAAGAGAAGAGTATTCAAAGTTTGTAAAATCCTTTTTTGATGTTGCTTCCTTGTTGCTATTATCATTGTCCTTATTGTTGTTATTTGTGTCACACTTTCACATTTCGCTAATCGCATTAATTATGCGTTTCTCATTTGCTGCTGGGCCTCCGTTTCCGTTTCAGACTATGAATCTGATTCTGGTCCTGGATCCTTTGGCCGCCTGCAGGCAAAATGGCCAGAAAATTGAACAAAAGCAAACTGCAGGCAAAAAAGAGAGCAACTCCAAGGGATAGCCCCTATCCCATCATTTCAGGCATAATTGCCTCTCAAGGGAATTAAATTGAGCAAGAGAATTTTGTTGGACGCGACAACAAAAGATGAAGATGGGATTTTATTTCATTAATTATCAATTAGTTTTTGAAAGTTGTAGCGTCAGATTTATTAAGTGGACCATGGACAAGTATGGCCGGCATAACTTTTCCCGGCGAAATTTCTATCAAATTAATTAGACAAAGTGTTTTGTGGATACAAATTGATGGGCGTGTGTGCTGCAAATTAATCACTAATGAAGCGAAAAGTGCTGTCAGGCAAATTGTAAATAAATTAGTATTATTTTTCAACTCTCAAAGCTTTCAATAATTTAGAAATGTTTTCTTTAAATCACTTTGGTTCAGCTTGAGTTGCGGTTACCCAAGACAGCTGTAATTATGCAAATTGGCTTAAAGACTTAAATTGATTTGATTGATTCAATCAAATTTGTTATGGTATATAAATAAATATATTTAATCTTTAAAGCTTAAAGTCTCTTTCTTAAATTTATTTAAAGCTATTAATGTGTTTGCGAATGGTTTTGATCATGGCCTCTGCCTGTGAGTTGGATGAGTCTCGCAGGAGTCCAATAACTTCAGAGATGCCGCCACCAGGACGACCTCGTTGAGCCTTGGTGGACAGAGCAAATAGAACTCCGGCACAGGCTCCTCTCTTGCCCTCCCAGTTCTCCGGACTGGGATCAAGTCTAGGGGTTGGATATTATGTTAATAAATTGCTTTTTAATGTATAACTTTTAAACTCACTTTTCCAGCATATCGAACGCCTTGGCTGCCACCCAGAACTCGGTGCACCTGTAGCACTCATTGGCAATCAATTGCAGCAGGATGAATGCCTCTGCATTTGTATCCCGGGTAATAAACACATTCCAGGCCAATTCTGGGTGACCACAGTGTATGTGACATTTGGCTAGGATCATGCAATAAGCATGCTGATTCTTTATATCCATGTCCGTGATCTGCATTAACAACTCCTCTGCCTCCTTGTAATATCCCGTGGCACACTTGGCCTGAGCAAAGTTGTAATTAAATACATCGTCGTTTACAAAGTAACTACGTATGGAGTTCATGTAGACCAGGACTTCCTCAAACTGTTCGTAGAGGAAGAAGGCCGAGGCCATGCTCTGGCGACCAGGAATGGTATCACATTCTGTGGCCGAGCTGCCCACCAAGTGGAGATTCTGCTGGGCTGTTTTGATGTGCTCTTTCTGGAAAAATAAAAAGTTTATATGTATTTAAACTTATATATTTAATTCCTTACCGATCCCAATTGTTGCCCGAGAGCAGCATGTACCACTCCCTTTAGGATATACTCGTGTGGTGATGTGGGTTGCAGTTCCTTCATGAGAGCATGTGCCTCCTGGACATCACCCTGCTTAAGGTAATAAATGGCCAAATTCAGGCGAGCTTCGGGTATAATGTTGAGTAGTCCTGGCAGGACTCGAAGGGCTCCTTCGCCATTCCGAAATACGACCAGATTGTGACGCAGAAGATCCGCTCCGAATGTGCCATTATCCGCTATATTCTTGATCTCCTGCTCGGCAACTCGACCATTGAATAAACGGAATCTATTACAGGCCTTGAGGTTAAGGGCTATGGTACTATCGCCATGTTGACCAAGATACACATCCAACACCTCCTGAGACATGTCATAGTAGTCCAGTTTGTAAAAACACAGAGCCAAGTAGACATTGATGGCCTGGTAGTCCTTATTATCCACCAGGACACGCTTGTAGACATCGATGGCCTCCTGGTAATGGGCACGCATATAGTGCATCGAGGCCAGGCTGAGCTGTTGCTCCAAGCTGGAGGAGTTCTGGAGCTCCTCCTGCAGCTGGATCCACTCCTCCTCGTTACCCAATTTATGGGCCAAATGGAACAGCAGACGCTGCTTCAGCGGATTGTCCGCCGCTTTGGCCATCAGCTGTTGGGCCTCCTCGTATAAGCCCAGGTAAAACATGCACACGGCCAGGTTAAGATCCAATTTGCCATCAGCACCAGTGGATTTCTGCTGCATGAACTTGTATTGACCAAGTGCCTGTTGGTAGTCACCCAGGTGGAAATTGCAGAAGGCAATCCATTGGTCCACTTGATGCTGCTTGACTCCGCGAGCACTCTCCTCCTCATCCTCGTCGTCATTGGCGTACTATGAATGGATATCAATATAAGATTTTATTATTAAAAATAAGAAATTATTATTATTTGATATTAACTTGGTGTATAATATGGGCTTAGGTTGCTCTGAATTTAATATTTTTAAATCTCTTTTAAGCTCTCAATACAGCAACGTAATTTCTGCTAGCAAGAATTTAAATTTAAACATTTTTCTGCAATATTCTGCGAAGAAAAACTAATCTATAGTTACCTCCAGGAATGCCCTGGCACCTGTGTAGTCCCGCTTGATGATGAAATCCTCTAGGGAGGTCGGTGCCGGGGTCTTCCTTGCCTGCCGTCCAACGCCAAGTCCACTGCCAGGACCTCCGCTGGCCGCGTTTCTTGAGCTTGCCGAGTCGGTTTTTCCACGTGAAAGTATCTGTGGAAGCGAGCAAGGAATTTCCGGTGTATATGACAACATTTCTCGGCACATTTCTTACCATTTTTCCACTTTCTCTCTTTTTTTCCAAGGGATTTTTACTCCTTACGCCTTGCTGGTTGTACACGGTTTGAGCCTTGTGTTTTGGTTTTATTTTATGTTTTTACCATGGAACGCTTGGTTACGGTCGCTTGGCAACCTATATAGCGTCGATAAAGCAGTTCAACTATGCCTCACTGCGCACAATAAGCGTCCTCCAGGATCTGTAGCTACAGCTGTGCCTGTAATTGTGATTGTATCCTTAACGGAAACCAACTTGTTGATCCTTGAATATGACTTGCCTAGGTCAGCTTGTGGCTCACATCCATTGAAACCAAG